GAACCCAGAGCTCATGGATCTGAGTAGCCTGGCTGGCCTGTGAACCCCACGGATGCTTGCACCTCTGCCTCCCTAGCACTGGGATTACAGGTACCTGTCACTTTGGCCAGCTTTCTACATGGGTGCTGGGATCTGAACTTGGGTCCTCAGGTTTGAGGCAAGCACTTTACTGGTTGAACCATCTCTTCAGCCCTCAGGATAAGTCTTAAAGGAAGCCCAAGACAGATGACATGGATCTAAGATCTGGTACAGGAGGAGAGATGTCTATTTTAGAAGAGGTTTGTGGGCTGGAGAGATGGCTCGCTGGTTAAGAGCACTTGTTACTCTTCAGAGGACCTGAGTTTTAACTCTAGCACCCACATGGTGGTTCACAGCCATCCACAATTTCAGTTCCATGGGATCCAGTGATTTCTCTTGACCATGATGCATATGGTACGTATACATATATCTAGGAAAAAACCACTCACACATTAAAAGTAAATTAAAGAAAGAAGAGATCAGATCCAGTCCTTTGGTATAGAAGGCCGACTCTATGCAAGCCCACTGGAGATGACGGTCCTTGGTAGGCACCATGACTTTGAAATGGATCTATGAAGTGGAAGCTTCCTACTTCAACCTGAACAGAGAGGAAGGGGCTCACCTGGAGCTCTGCATGGTGCACCTGGGCTGCAGCTGCAGCCACCTGGTCCTCCAGATCTGCCAGCTCTGTCTCACCTGTGCTACTGTGGATGCAGCGAGCAGCATCTTCCAGCTCACTCAGCTGGCCCTCCAGCCCGTACACAGTGCCCGCTGCCAGGTACACCTGCAGGGAGAGCACAGCTCTGAGCCTAGTGGACTGGGACTGGCCAGGTTCTTTGAAGGGGCACCAGAAAGCTGGGCTCAATACAAGGGGAGACCTGAGAGCCCCCCACTTATCAACACTCTTCACACTTGGATGGGGAAGGAAGCCTTTGACATCTCTCCTCCCCTTCAAGCACTGAAGTATTCACGACAGGATTGTTCTGGAATCATTTACATGAAATGGCCTGTCTAAGCACAGCAACAGACAAACATTAGCGGTTAAACTGGAAGTGGTGGTGACGGGATGTGCCTGCCATCAGCCATTTTTATCAGGGCTGTATCTACCCCAAACTATTATTTATACTTCTCACCTTCCAACCCTGTTATCTTTTAATGTTCCTTTAAAAATGTATTTATTTTCTATCACAATCAAGACAAACCAACAAAAAACAGACCCAAGCCCCGAGTACAGTTGGAAGGCTCATGTTTTTACTTCGTGTTTTTCTGAAAGACTGTTTTCTGGGCTCTGTGGGGAGGGGACACAGAGGTTTGCCACTGAGCGCAGCTGAATAAGAACCTACCACCAAAGTGAAGGGGCATGAAGGGCAGGAGGAGGGAGCAGTGGGGACATGCTTATCCACGCAGGAATAAAGGCAGGAGATTCATATGACTTATCGTTTAAAATCTCATTTATTTGTGTGTGTTAGGTATGTGCATGTGTGTGTGTGTGTATGTGTGTGTGTGTGTAGGTCAGGTGATGGCTTTCAGGAGTCAGTTTTCTCCTTTTCTCCTTTTACCATGTGGGTCCAAGGGGATTGAACTCATATTGTCAGGCTTGGTGGCAAGCCTCTTCACCCACTGAGCCATCTTGCTGGCCCACAACTTAACTCTTTGAATGTTCAGGTAACTCTAAAGATAGATACTGTCATAACCACTGTGCTAATGATGAGAATGTCTTATATCCCAGGAAAGCCCAGAGCCATCCCTATCTCAAAACTGGGATGAGGTGGAGCCTGCACATAAGCGGAGGAGAACCAGACTGGCGCAGGTCCCACGCTTTTACATCCCTACCCTGAGGTACCGTGAGCCTTAATCTCTGTTGGAATATTATCAAGTTTCACAATTCAGCACTCGTATCCGGATACACACTGTGATACACGGGTGGATTATGCTTTAGTCCCGGTTTGACATAATGTAAGTCAGCATGCCACTCCATAAAATGCTATTCTAACCTGATAAAAAGCAGGCTGCTTGAAAGCAGCCTGGGACTGCTTGCTTGGTGAAGGCTCACACTGGGTGAAAACAATGGTTACTTTTCAATGTCTGTCTGTGTCCTGTTAGCCCAGAACCCCCACTGTCACCTCAGCTAGATTTACTACCACCCCAGGCCTGCCACCCCAACCATACTACCACCCCAGCCCCCCACTGTCACCTCAAGCCCACTACCACTCTAAACCTCCACTGTTAACCCAGCCTCCCACTGTCACCACAGGCCCCACTGTTACCCCAGGCCCACTACCATCCCAGGCCCCCACTGTCACCCCAGCCCCATGTCTAGGAGTCTCTCAGGCATGGATCTCAATTTTTATAGAAAAAACAAAAGCTAAGAACAGAGCGGTCCCTTTAGCATCTTATTAGATGCAGTGTCCATAAAATATACCTTAGAGGCCTAGTAGATAGTAGTATTTTTTTCCCCTTGCTCACAAAGGGCAGATAGCTACTCATGGTCACTGCCATGAGTTTTGGGGCCACCTCCTTTCTGGAGCTTTGGGGCAGCAAGAGAATCTTGGGAAGGACCCATGTCCTCTGTTCCATTCTGTAGACGGGCATTCCCAATGTGCCTGTGGCCACTGGCTGTAAAGAACACAGGCAACAAGAATTGACGCTAAAAGAAATTGGGATGTGTGTGTGTGTGTGTGTGTGTGTGTGTGTGTGTGTATGAGAGAGTGTATGTGAGTCTGAGTGTGTGTCAGAGTATGTGTGTAAGTGTGTATGAGTATTGTGTGTATGAGAATGTGTGTGTGAGTGTGTTAGAGAGTATTGTGTGCATGAGGGAGAATGTGTGTGTGAGTGTGAGAAAGTATATGTGTGTATGAGTGTGTGTGAGTATGTAAGAGAGTATTGTGTGTATGAGAATGTGTGTGTGTGTGACAGTATGTGTCTGTATGAAAGAGTGTGTGAGTGTGTTTAAGAGTATATGTGTGTATGTGTGTGTGAGAGTATGTGTGTATGAGAGTGTGTGTTAGAGTATTGTGTGTATGAGAGAGATGTGTGAGAGTATGTATGTGTATGAGAGTGTGTGAGAGAATATGTGTGTGAATTTGTGTGAGAGTGTGAGTGTGTGAGTGTGTGAATGTATGTGAGTGTGTGTAATCATAGGTTAGCACACGCTGACACTGTCTTCAAGCAAAATAGATGAGACAGGTCCTCAGATGGGTGTAGGAGGGGACACGGTTGGCTCCTCCCTTAGTCATCTCTTCCTCTCACACCCAAGTAAACCCTGAGGCGGCTCATCCTGTTGTTCACACTATGGTGTGAGACGACTGTGCTACCTGGTCTCTGTGATCCTTTCAGTCCATCTCCCTCCTTCACTGCCCTCATGTCTCCCTCCTTCACTGCCCTGATGTCTGCTGTTTACCTGACTTCATGTGATGACTAGTGGGTTTTTTTTTTTAAGATTTATTTATTTTTATTTTGGGGAAGGGAGTCTCAATGAGGGGTTGTCTAGATCAGGTTGGTTTGTGGGGATTATTTTGATTAGTAGAAACACTGCCCACTGTGGGTGGCACCACTCCCTAGGCAGATTGTACAAGAGACAGTGAGCTGAGCACCAGCCTGGGTGCATTGATTCACTGCTCTTGACCGTGGATGAGATGTGATAGGTTACTTCAGACTCCTGCACCATGACTTCCCCACAATGGTGGACGGTAACCTGGAATTCTGAGCTGAATAAACCCTTTCTCCCTCAAGTTGCTCTTGTCGGGGTAGGTTATCACATCAACAGGAAATGACATGAAGACACTGATTTATATGACATTTATGACTATGCCTCCCTGGCCAACTGAACACACAAGCACAAGGTTAAAGGCAAGAGGGTATTAGAGTCGTGTTGGAGGCCCACTCTCCCAACTGTAGCTACCTTCCACAGGTGGGACACTCTCCCAGGCTCCAGCTCCCTCAGCTGTGGTTGTGCCACCTAGGGATGGTACAGCTTTCCTCTGTACTATCATTTCAGCCCCTCTGGTAGTTCTTAATTTTGCCCACACCTTAGTTAAAAGTTTCCTTACAAATCTCTCCCCTCCCAGCTAGACCCCCCCCAAACACAGCTGGACTCTTCTCAGGGGGAGTCTGAAATCTGAGAGACCCAGGTTTTCTGCCCAAGGAACTGAACTCTCATTGAGTGCAGCTGGGGAGGGTGAGGGGAGTCCAGAGTGAGCTAGACTTTGGGGAGACAATAGCCAATCTTACAGAGCTATTGCAGTGGGGACTGTGAGCCTCTGAATTTCCCAGGGCTTGCCTCTAACCAAGTTAACAAGCCATTTATGAGAGGGTTTCTTTGTTCTGTCTGGTGTAGCCCCCACAGTCTCAGAAGCATTTCCAAGGGTGAGTATTCAAGATAGAATGTTCTCGTTTATCTGAGTGTCCTGGCTCACAGCAGCCATATTGAGAAGGAAAGAGGAGATGGGAAGGTTGGGTTCCCAGCACAAAGGCACGCGGGGGGTGGGGTGGGGGGGGAAGGGAGAGGGGATAAAAGATGAAATGCACTTTTTACAGTGCAGACTAACAAAAGCCATGATTTAATTAAACCAGCTGCAGCCAGGGGCTGCTTTCAGAAGCAGCCCTGCCTTTTCCTACTGCTCAGCTGTATTCCATCCAGGGCACAGCAGGGGGAGCCCCGCTGTCCAGGGCTCTATGATCTGCTGGATTAGAAAGCTGAAGTAAAAAAAAAAATCTTTCCCACTTTTACTCAATACTTTACAGAATTCAAAGACGCATGGTGTCCTCTCTTCTAAGGTGAGAGGTGAAAAGCTGGAGAAAGAGGGGGAGGGAAAGGGAGGCAACCATTCCCAGGCATCCCTCTGGAGAATGGGACAGGGCTAGAGCGGGGTTGAAGAGGGGGGCAATTGGCTGCAAACTCAGCCACGAGTCTGCACTGGGGCTTCTGATATCCTGCATCAGTAGATAAGTGAGTGTGTTTTGAAGTAAAAACATTAATGATCTCCCCCCCCCCATAAAATAACCACACAATCAGCCTATGCCATGGAAATGCACACAAGGCCTCAGTTTCAATATGGTTTTGGCAGACAGGTGTGTTCTAAATACAATGAGAGAGAACTGACTACTGTCAGCATGTCTGTGAGTGTGCGTGTGTGTTTGTGTGTTTGTACAAGAGGGCACCCGGGGGTATTACTCCTCAGGTGCCATCTGCCATGCATTTTGAGACAGGGTCTCTGACCTGGCACTCACCCAGCGAGGCTCACTAACTAGAAAGCTCCAGGTCTCTTCTTCCCCGGCCCTGGATGGCAAGCACATTCCATTGTGAACTCAGGCCTTTATGGTTGCATGGTAAACAGTTTACCCACTGAGCTATCCCCCAGCCTGGATCCAAGGTCCTTTTATCAGCTACCTTCATCCTAGCAGCGGAAAGACTCTATGGCTCTCCACTGGGTCAATCTTGTTTTCCACCTACTCCCTCAACAAAGATTCTTGGTTGCCTAAACTTTAGTTTGGGCAGAACCATCATCTCCTGGGCTCACCCGTGAAGTTTTTAGATCAAATATTATCTAATATCATCTTGCCCAGTCACTCTGGCCAGAGAGCCCCATCCCTGATAGAGGACCACTCACATTTCATTAGGTTTCTGTCCCTACTTGTCCCCAAATGGTGGCTGCACCTCCCTGGCCTGTTTTCATCAGGAATCTGGTTCGGTTTGTTTGTCCTGACCCCTTAAGGCCGGATGGGCAATCTTCTCTCTCCTCACCCATCTCTGCCCCTCAGCTATCAGCTCCCAACCACCTGGGTCATTCCAGGGGCCAAGCTCAGTCTCTTCCCCAGTACAAGACCCCACTGCCAAGGTCTTTATGCCTATTCCTCGAGGCAGTCCTGAAGAAAGCCTGGCTCTCTGTAGCACACACCACTGAATATTCTTTTCTTTATCTCTGTCGTCTGTCTGTCTGTCTGTCTGTCTCTATCTCTGTCTCTTTCTCTCTGTATGTGTGTGTATGAGCATGCACACATGCATTTTACAGGTGAACACACATGTAAGTGCAAGCCCATGGTTGATATCCATGACTCTTCTACCTTACTCTCCAAGGCTGAGTCTCTCAGCCAAAGCCAGAACTAGTCAAGACAGCTGGTTTGACTAGCCAGCTCACTCTGGAGACCCCTGTCTCTGCTTCTGAATTACACGTTGGAATTATGTACAGGTCACTGTTGTGCGTTTCTGGGAATGTAAACTTTAGTTCTCACACTTGTGTGACAAGCACTTCAGCCACTGATCCAGCTCCCTACCCCCTGATTATTTTTTCTTTAGCACTCTCCCTATACCCAAAGCCTCACGAGACTCTGATTCCCTACATCTCATTCAACCTACACACAGTAGGACTGAAGCATTTGCTGGCTATAGAGAAGTCCAGGTCCAAGATGCAACTTTTACCTTCGAGGTCTCTGCTGCATCAGGATAAGGCTACTCTGAGATCAAAGTCATGCTTGGCTTCTTCCCTCTTCACTTCCCCACACCATCCCTGTACCATCTTCCCTAAGGGAGAGGAAGTGGCCTGGCTGTAACTAGACAAAGATGGAGTCTCGGCGGGTCTCTTAACTCCTCATACAGAAAGCCACCCTTGGGGCCACACTATAGATGAAATTTCACAACTAGGGAATAGATAACAGAAAAGCAGACGGCTTCTTCTGGGCTTTGTTCCCTTCCTCATCTCCTTCTCAATAGTTACTCCTGAGTTCATCCTTGCTTCCTGGGAGCCCTGCCTCAGCCCTTTCCGGAGAACACACTGGGCATGGTGGATGTGCTCGTCCTTGCATGCTTCGGGATCAGCTATAATTCTCTTTCCTTCACACTTGCTCACTCTCAACTGTGTGCATTCACACCCTCTTACGTTTTCTTCCAAGGAAGTCAGCTGCTTGTCCAGCCTCACTTGGTCTGTCCCAAGAGGAAACATCCCATTTTCTCTGTCAGTGGAGACTGGGGGGATCTCCCAGGGCCCTGCAGACTCTGCGATCAACTCCTCGGTAGCATTGATGACCTTCAGGACTTCTGTGGAGATGTTGCAGAGAGAAACAGCAGAACACTTCTGTTTGCCCAATAACAGAAGGGGACAGAAGACAAGAACAGCACATTAACAAGGACAAGGGAATCCTACAATATTCTGGCACCCATCATGAGGTCAGCTCTGTGATAACACACACACCACAAACACTCATACACCACAAACACTCACACACTACACACACATGAACACACACACACTCACACAAACCACACATACTTA